ATGTCAGTAGTCAGTGTTTACATTATTATCATGGTGTAAATACTATCCATTATGGAACCATGTATATTTTGATTGTTTTGAACACTTCGTTTATTATGAAGTTATGATTATTTATTTAAACAACTTATTTAAATATGTTTATGTACTTACCTTCAATTTATTTCTGAAATGCCAGTTCTGTCAAGTGGTTATTAATATTTTCTCTCAAATGGTCAATGTATCTGATAATCTAAAAAATTTTTTTTCCTGGTGCTCCAACCACCAGAGTAATTCTTTTAGTCACCATCGCCACCTGCTGACTGTTGGTGGAATAGAGGAATTATGAGGTAAGGGCTTGATGTTTTTAAACTAGAAAATGTCCTTTTCTATGGTCTGACCTTGAGAATAACAATTTGGAGGAAAGAATATGGTCCCCATGGTAGGTGTATAAGAGAGAATGTAAAGTCATTAAGTATTGTCTTTTCTTGCCAGTTATCATCTTCTTCTTGTTTTTGTAGAAGGAAAATCTGTTCTAATTTCCCTTCTCATGCTATGGTCACTCTTAGCTTTTGTCTGATCCACCAAAGGAAGAGGGAAAGCTGGGCTCCTCATTTTTTTTTAAATGACAGCTTTGTTGGTGTGGGTAAAATTGTAACATTTCCAGAATATCTCACCTGGCTTTAGTACATCTGCATATCAATAGGCGTTCATAGGTGGTATGGCTTTAGTGCATTTGCATCATTCCTCAGGTGTGGAGAGAAGTTCATCTCCATATCAATGGGTAATTACCTGGGCAAGGAGGGTTTACCTATACCTGAAAGGTGAGGGGGAGGGTCGGTTATGCTGTTACTTGAGCAGGAGGGAGAGATGGGCCGGATTGCAGTTTCGTAAACAATAAACGGATTTTAAACTTGATTTCTCCCTTTGACTGATTTCGGTTTTTAGAGGTATTTTGCCCTGGGATTTCCTCTTCCTGTACAAACACCTGGCGCAATCGGTAGGATTCCTCTGAACCCGAAATCTGTTATAATGGGTGTGACCTTTGGGAAGGCCGCCCCAAGAAATGATGGGGAGAAGTGGCGCT